GTTTTGAAGAAGCCGTGACTGAGGGAGTTGAGCAAAAGGTGTTCTGTACCTTGAGATATATCAAGGTACTTACTCAGGTCGTTTGGTCTTTTTTGTGGTGTCCGCTAACATTCGCAGCTAGCAATTTCCCCATGAAGCTACAGCTTTTGTCGGCAACTGCGCTAGTTGCATTTTTCTATTATTGCGTCACAAGCCACTACGCGCTCGCCATCCGGCTCTTTTTATATCAGGCCTTCTACGGTCAACGAGCTGTCGAACAAATAGTTGAAACCTGTAGTACTGGACCCGATGGCAACAGGATACGGTGTATGACTGAAGTATGCACGTATGTTGTAGGAGCCATGTTGACCATAGGAGCCACTGGATCTCGAATAAGCTCCATAGTTCGAGGATTAAGGGTGGGATTGAGCGACGGTGAAGGAACAATTAACAATATTAGTTGAGTTTGGGGGTTATGTGGTACGGTTTTAGCATGGCTCCGGTACCAAATTTTGGCATAATGGTCCTATTTAGACATAGGATAATCAATACAACTGGGTCTCTGTGACCAGCCAACACGGCGTGGTGATCCAAGTTTTGGTCATCTTAAATCAGGACACTAAGTTGATCTCCACCTAAACCGCCATAGAAAAAATCGTTATTAAGGCCATATAAATCATCATTTTCGACTAGGGAAGAGTTTTCACCAACATTGCACTAGAAGGGCTTAGATTTTAGATTTCAAAGCACCATGCCTTTGCTGTCTGCGCGCCAGCTATTCAACCTTGTTACCTACCCACCTATCTAGCAACACAATGCTTTAATCAACATGGAAGAGCTGTGTTGCCCTGGCCGATGCAGTATGTGTACTGAATATTCTTAGTGTATTGAGTAGTCTTGCGGCATATGCTGTGAGCGAAGTCCTTCAGAGAGGTGTGCTCTTTATGTTAGCAAGGTCCCTCTTCATCAAGGCTGCCGGCAGAGCAGTTGATTCTTGTGGGACCTTTGTTGGTCAAGATTACTGCTATTTTCTAGTAGCAAAGTAGGCTTTCAGAGAAAACTATACATGAAGTCATACCACAACCAAGAAATCATGCCATATAATTACATACCTGACAGCACTATTTAATTATAGGATACAAAGAACAACCCTGCGCTATACAACTATATATACGCCCACTTACAAACAATTACACCCTATTCTCCTGAGATACCAACACTTCTGAACGGCCCAGAGAAGGCATTGGAACCAACCTCCGGACTGGCCGCGGCGAAGGCGAGCTGGACTTTTGGCTCTTCCGTCGCTTCGACAAGTTGCAACAACCAGGATAAGAGGCGACTCGGCACCGGGCACAGACATCGCCCGGGCAAGACACCTGTGCTGCGCCCACCTTTGAGCAGGTCCAACACCCTCGATCATTGGCTATGCAGCCCGTGCAGCGCTCGTCACCGAGTACCTGCTTCCCGAGTTCAGCTTCATAGGTCTTCGATTTAGGGTATTGAATTACAATTTACGGCTACAAGGTTGTTCCCAGGAGTCTCAAGGGGTTTGAAAAATTCGCCTTACCGCCTTCTACATTAAGATGGATAAACGGGGCACTAGAATACAACAAGACGCGAAGCTTGAAGCTTTTCAACTCTATCGCGTGGTTCTGCCAGACACGCCAGCCCGTTAAGGAAAGGTTTCCTGCATGGGTACTTCCCATTTGTTCAGATAGTCTACCGCCCTCGGTAAAAGAAATCTTCTAACCTGTTAAGGTACCATCCAACCTATATAGGGATAGTAATATGATTACTACTGGGCTATTTGAGAAACAAACAAACTGAATAAAATACCAACACCACAGCGTTAGATTGCTCAAATATAAAACGCTGTATTCCCCAGACTGAAGAGCACACACAATGAATTAGGAGCCTCAACAAAAGATTGTCACTTGCTTATCAAAACTTTATATACGAATAAAAGCCCTCTTCATGAAATACAGCATGAACAACCACCTGGTCATCGGGCCGCTGCCTAATGCCGGTGGCCTCAGGCACGGGGCAGTGATCGACATCTTCCGTTGATTGATGAGGTCCCTCATTGGATCATCATGTTGCACTATGGCGAGAGTCCGCCAAGGATCTCCACTCCCACGGAGTCCGATGGGGAACTGATGGCCCCAAGGACTGATCGCATGTCGGCGAGAGGGGTAAACCATCGCATTGTCGGCAAACAGCGGCTAACCGGCATGTTTTATATGCAAGGACAATTCCCCGATCTCTTCATACGCTAGTTCCCAACTTTCCTCACAATTTCCGACAACATTACCTTGTGACGATGCATCCGTCGCTGAAATTGCTGTTGTCGGCGGCGTCTTTGCTTCCATTGGCGCAGGCATTCCAGTACACGCCCTTGCAACTGGCGTATCCTGAGCTTCGCGCAAAGCAACCACAACAATTGACCCCGGAATCAGCAGTGAACCAGCAATCAACAACAGCTGAATACCCTGAGTACTATCTCTCGGTACCTGTTGACCATTTCCATAATGAGTCCCGCTATGCGCCGCACAGCGATGACCATTTCGACCTGCGATATTGGTTCGACGCCCAACACTACGAGGAAGGGGGCCCCGTGTTTGTGATCGCCGCCGGAGAAACCGACGCGACCGCGCGATTCCCCTTCTTATCGCAGGGCATCGTCACCGAATTAGCTGCCGAATACCACGGCATTGGAGTGATTCTAGAGCATCGCTATTACGGCAAAAGTTACCCGGTAGACGACCTGACGACGGAGAATATCCGGTTTCTCTCAACGGACCAGGCCCTGGCCGATTATGCGTACTTCGCTTCCAACGTCGTCTTCCCCGGGCTAGAAAATGTAAATCTCACATCCAAAACGACTCCGTGGATCGCCTATGGTGGATCGTATGCCGGGGCCTTTGTCGCCTTCCTGCGCAAGCTCTACCCCGACGTCTACTGGGGTGCTATCTCTTCCTCGGGCGTCACCGAAGCGATCATAGATTTTTGGCAATACTATGAGCCAATCCGCAAATTTGGTCCGTCCGATTGCATCTGGGCAACCCAAACATTCATCGACGTCGTAGACCGCATCCTAATCGACCATGCCGATAACAAAACGCTAGGCCAGCAACTGAAATCTTCAATCGGAGTCAGTCCCGACAAGGATGACGTCTCGTTCGTTTCGCTTCTTTCTTCCGGCCTCGATAGTTTCCAATCGCGCAATTGGGATTCCAATATCGGTAGCTCTTCTTTCCGGGTCTATTGCGATAACATCACCAGCTCAGACTTGCTGTACCCCGACACCGAGACCATAAAGCCAGCCATCGAGGAGCTGATCGAGGTGGCCGGATATGATGCATCCAACTCCAGCTTCGTGAACGGTTTCCTGAACCACATTGGCCTTCTCAAGCAGTCCATCTCCAGTGATGACAATTCGGCCGAGACCGAAGAGTCCAACTCATCCGATTCTAAATCGCTCCCCAAAAGCGACGGCATCAGTTGGGAATACCAAGTTTGCACCGAATGGGGCTACTTCATGTCCGGTGCGTCCGTGCCGAAGGATATCATGCCTCTGATCTCACGCGTCTTGGACGTTGCAAGCGTATCGACCTTCTGCGATACAACATACGGAATTACCTCTCCGCCCAACGTGACGAACATCAACAAACACGGCGGATTCGACTTCTCTTACCCACGAGTGGCCATCATTGATGGTCTTGCGGACCCCTGGCGCGATGCGACACCACACGCCGACGGCACGCGGGAGAGGGAATCTACTGACGACGAGCCATTCATTCTGATCGACGTCCCGGCTGAGGATGTCTGGGACGGTATCCGAGGTGCAGTTCACCATTGGGACCAGAACGGCCTGTCCAAGAAAGATGAAACTAAAGGTCAGGAGCCTCCAGCAGCTATTGTGGAGGTGCAGAAAGAGGTCCTACGATTTGTCGGCGTGTGGCTGGACCAGTGGAAGCAACGGTCTGGAGGTTCCTCTCGATTAGTTGGGGGAATAAGGGGCCCTGGGCGTAGCCAAGTGCCACTCTAAGCTGCAATATACGACGTCTCTAATAAATATGATGCTAAGAAGTTGTTGATGATATGATTGTATATTTCTCTGTCTGCAGCGCTTCCGCCCGCAATTAAAACCTTCTATATACGAGAGACTACAAATTTTCAATCGAAGTATAGAAATCGACCGTGAGCACTTCAAGCAATTCCTTACAGAAAGAAAGTTTCAAATATTCCTCAAATAGCAAACGATCGGTAACTAGACATTTCCCATAATAAACTGCACGAGGATCGACTGTAGATGTTTCCAAAGACAGTAACAGACCAATCGATAGAACAAAAAGAGGAAAGGAATCAATGAACAATCACCACAACTATATAGACCCAAACAGTCAGATTTCTCGCTTACGTATAAAATCTTTTGTTCCAGATTCAAGTCTGGGGTTAAATATTATAGGTTCATCGTCAACACTCCATTGAAAAGACCACCCCGTCACTGTCCATGGAAATATTTCTACCCCCAAATTATAAACTTATAATATCTGTGCCTTCAAGGTATATGGCGGCGTCTGGGATAGCAAAAGCGAGACCTAGCTTGATAAAGTATTCCCCTTCCATGATATGAAAAGGGAAATTCTTTCTCAAATCAGTATCCTGTGTTGGAGATGAGAAGTGGTGTGGAACTCGGAGTAACAATCGAAGCTTTCCGGGGTGTTGAGCGCTGTCTATATATCTGAGTTCAGGTGGGCTTATTATTAGCAAAGCCAACTGGAATAAACCTCAAAACGGGTTCAGATAATTTCAAAAAGGCAAGTTATATGAAAAAGAACACCAATAGATATAAAGGACAAAGAATTCCACAGCCTTAGGATACCAGTTAGACAGCAAAACGACTCCAGAAGCATCTAGGCACTGAGGATAATCAAGTGCGAGAGTGGTGAAGGAAGCCTGTATACAGTCAAGGCTCTGCAGGAAGCCGTATCCTTAGCAGAGACTCAAACAGCTCTGTCGCTACCGAACATAAAACCCCCTATTAGTCCAGTTGTAGGACGTAACCTCCAGAGAAATAAACCAGAGTTTGACTAATGTCTTCCAAGACGTCGACCATTTATCTTACTCTCCGGATGGTAGGTTTCTAGTCTCTGTACTAGGTGGTTGTATGCTGTATCTATCACACGGAACAAAACTTGAGGTCGGGGATGTGATTAATGAGTCCATCGTGAAAAGGGATGCGAATTCTGACAAGAGTATATGAAAGTGATATCTCTCTGTGAAATGACCCAATCCTGGGAAACGCCGATTTTGATCTTTTCGTATATGACCTAAAAACGAATGTTTTTATCACAGTCTATATTAATTGGGAAGAAGCTGTTCTTACTTCTCAGTAAAACGTTAGTGGTCTTGATAAATTACCTAATTACTCCCTTTAGGAGGTGCATGAGGATGATATAAAACTTATGGGTCATTGTAAGAACTTTGAGCATCTAGAGCCGTGTGACAGAAAGACGTTCTGCTTTGAAGATAGGGCCATAGTTACTGAAACAGGCTGAATAGATTCTCGATTATTCTATTTCGAGTGGGACTGGAGGAGCACTCGGAATCCGCTTGTGAATAAGACAATGGTTGTTCGGGGACAAGAAAGATATTGATCTCTTCTCAAGGTTATATATATACACTTACGCGCTGTCGTTAACAGGAACAACTTACTAATCGTGGGATATGGTTTTGGCCGGGTAACACTTCTGGGGATTGGAAAAGATATAGGAGAAAAGTAGCCAGAATCTCCAAAACGTATGAATGTCGAGCGAGAGCTGTTGGTATCGTAGCACTTATATTTCACAGTTAATTCTACAATAGATGATTCAGGATTCGTTATTAGATAATTAAAAATAGATATCCAAAAAGGACCATATCTGTATCAGATACATATAGAACGTTAAAATACTAGAACGGTACTTGGATCTCCGGAGCTAACTCGTACTAGGCTGTTTACTATTTCCTGCTTGATCACTCTCATATATATAATCCTTATATTTCCAATTGTATTTCTAATTGAAGATGATACCTTTGCTTCTCTACCATTCTAACTCGGTGTGATATTACCCGTTACAAATTGGGCTGTAGACTATATCTCAGAATGAGAATGCGAGATAAACGCTAAGGTTTCCTAGATTTTAGTGAAGAATGCTACACTGCAAGGGTGAGCTAGATTTTAAACTCGCCTACTTTCATTGCTTATCATCGTGATCACGGGTCGACGTTTAGATCAATGGGACAGACGACTAGATCGACGCGAGGTATCTGTGAATTGCTAATTGAGATAGTGGGGCAATGGTGGAATAAGCGAATGGAAGTTGAACACAACAACAACTGTATCGACACAGCAAGGGGGGGGGGAGCCGTTCGCTCTTACTCGGATTTATGTACGAACTGTGTAGGAGTAGTATGAGGTCGAAGGTGATCTTTCAGGATGTGAGCGAAATCTAAATTTGAATGGGAAAGATTTCCGCGCGACTCATGTTGAACGGTTTTAGGTGATCTACAATGATTCAAGAAAATGTCTGTGCCGATCTGCATCCCTGCATAAATTACTATAGCGTATCCGAGAACGGTTGAAACACTTGCCCTAATTTTCACAGTGACAAGATGTACGTTGTACCTTTCGTAAAAACATATTCAAGTATTTATCAAATTGTAATGACTGGTATTATTATTCGCGAAGTTTTTACTAAATGTGAGCGGGTTACAATAAAAAAAGTATCCCGTCTTGATTAACCAGCTCTAGTGAACTCTAAACCATCGCTAAAAGACCCATAGCGTGCTTGAAGATAGTCGAGGATATAGTTCGTGCGCGGATGCCATGGGCTGACGATCCCCGCTTTCGGTAAACAGTCTCCACCTGCCACCATATACGTGGAATTTAAACTCCAGACAGGTCTAAGAGTTGGATCTGACGGACCCTTGGCAGGAGGCATAGCTGCGAGGATGTTTCTCTTAGCCATGTGGTTGATGAGTCGGCAGGCAGACAAGGCCGTGACATCTACCCCCATTGTCCACGAGGCACTGGTGAGATATCCGAGAGCGAAGAATGCATTGGGAACGCCTTGGAGCATCATACCATTCCAGAGGAATCTTTTGGAGAGATCACAATCCTGCCCGTCAATTGCAAAAGTGGCCCCACCGCCGAACTGCAGCTTAAGGCCCGTGGCAGTGATGACAAGATCCACTTCGATTGATTTCCCATTCTCGAGAACAATGCTGTTGGGAGTACACTTTCGGATATTCGCCGTTTCGATGCCGACGTTCCCGCGATGGAGGCTCTCGAAGAAGTCCCCATCGGGACAGGCTAAGAGCCGTTGATCCCAGACGTTATACCTGGGTGTAAAATGAGGATCTATTGGTATGTGTTTTGGGAGTCGTCTTCGGGCTAGGCCGAGGAGATACTCCTTAGCAGCAGTGGGGCATTTGCGGAATGCATAATATCCAAATAGTGAAATCGCCAACCAACTGAGGCGTTTAACTTTATGAGAGAACGCGGCTGGGAAGAATCGTGCCCATCCGTTGTCTCCAGGTGAAGGTATTGGTAGGATGTAATTCGGGCTGCGCTGTACCATGGTCACGCTAGACGCCGTCTCGGCTAGTTTGGGGACAAGCGAGATCGCCGTCGCCCCACTGCCGATGACCGCGATTCTTTTACCCGAACAATCGAGGCCCTCTGGCCAGAACTGTGGGTGAATGAGCATCCCGCGAAAGCCGTTCAAGCCGGGGATCTGCGCGGGCAATGGCTGATTATGGTCGAAGTATCCCGTGGCGAACATTACGTACGTTGCGCTGAGATAAATCTCTTTATCCTGAAGCGTGGCTTTTAAACCCCACATATTATCTTCTGAGGACCATGCCGCGTGTCTAACTCGATGGTTGAAGAGGATATGCTTGTCTATTCCGTATTTCTTTGTTGTTTCATTGAGGTAATTGAATAGAGATTCTCCGTCCATCATAGGTTTATCGTTGTGACATGGGTGCCAGGAAAACCCAAACGTGTGGATATCGGAGTCGAGCCGGACACCAGGGTACCGGAACAGATCCCATGTGCCGCCAGCTGTCTCGCGGGCTTCGAGAATAACATATGTGTGATTAGGAAGGAGTGATTGGATGCGGTACGCAGCGTTGATTCCGGCGATTCCTGCCCCGATGATGACAATGTCATATTTTGTTGAAAACGACATATTGCGTAAGGCTTGAACAGTGGAAAACCATAAACGAAGGAACAAGTGGGAAGAATTGACTGATATCCCAGCAGACAGGTCTATTGCAGCTTCACAGGCTATATAGCAGTAGTGTAACTACTAGTGAAGAGAGGTAATCAAGATACTGAGGCAGAAGACCCTGTACTGTAACGAGTCACACTGCACATAGTGATTTCCGTTCATTTCATCTTGAAAATTACCCTATCAGATATGCCAAGACGAGGTCGGAGAACGTGTACTGAAATATGAAGTATCATTTGTATACTAAGTATTAAGGTTGGGAAGAAGACCCGCTTGATCAACATCATCACGACCGGATGCTATATTCCGTATCCCTAACTCTTGACCTGTCGTGTGATTGACTGAAAAGCTAAATACATGACCCGGTTATTGCGAATGCAATGGATTCTTTCCGATCCACCCTCACAACCGGCCGAGCATCCTTCGCATCACGAACCGCAGAAGTGGGCCTTGTAGTAGCCGGAGCATGGTGTCTGGCGGTAGCGTGACCCGCAGTTCTAGTATTGACGTGGACCGGGCAGGTAGAATGCAGACTGTCCCGTCAATCCGGTTATCTGGGCTATCAAACTCTACCACGCGTCCCAAGGTGGCACCAAAGTCTAGTCCATATATACCCATGCGTCGAATACTGGTGGATATGATATCACCCTGCTTAAAGGTGGGACTCCAATCTAGACTCCTCTGTTTTTCTTGAATGATTCCCTTCACGTAAGCATTATCCACGCTCGACTGCGTAGCGTGAACCTTCAGTGCGAGATCGACAAGAAGTTGGACATCACCCTTGGTCAAAGCTGATGATTGGGGATGGGATGTGTTTGGCACATCAGAATCCAGAGCAGGCTGCACGGGTGACGTCGTCGCTGAATGAATGATCCCATTTCCCATGTAAGAATTTGGGAGTGGCGGTGTTAAGGTTCGACGAATCTCAGTGATGAGTATCAACGAACTTTCAGTAGGCTGGTTGTTCTGCACGCTGGCGCCATACGATGGTGATTCATACCGTGCCCTGATAATAGCGAGCCATAGCAGGGCGGATATCATGTCATTGGATGTCAGGTATTGCTCTTGTGACCGGTCATGCAGGATTGCGTTACAGATACCCTTGAGGTATTCTACACTAGCGAGCTGCACAATTAGTCGGCGACTGACTAGCCCTTCAACCGAGTTAAAGTTGGCAATTTTGAGGGCCTGCGAGTCCCCAGTCTGTGCCTCGCGCCCCTCTTCGCTGACCATGGGACCGTGTACCATTCTTCGCCTTCCTTCAAGCAGGTCCCGTCCCAAGGGTAAGGTTAGAGTGGGACTGTTAGGCTCGCGGCAGCATCGTGCCAATGCATCCTGGATGAAATAGAACCCGGCAGCGTCAAATACCGAATGATGAAAGCAGACAGCCACAAATATGCCATCCTGCAGAATGTTCGCTTGCCAGCGAATTATAGGGCATAGTTCCCTTGTCGCCACCGACAGTGGTAATGGCAGATATGGCTCATCGAATAAAGAATCGTTCGAGACCCGTTCACCGGGATTGTGAACTTTTTTGACGATGTATTGATCCGTGTGATGTGCTACCTGAAGGATGGGGAATTCGCGCAACGAATCCAAGGTGGGAGGTCGCACCTCACGTACGTTGGCCTTTGGCCCTTTCGAACTTGTTCTGATCATATTTCCTGCCAGGAAGGGGCATTCTTTGAGTAAGCGACGGAGACCTTCTTCAAGGACGGGCACGCCCTGTTGTGGGTCATCCAACACCAAGGCGTAGAAAAATGCTATGTAGCATATTGGCATCGTATGGTCCAGCGGTGTCAGCTTCATGGGGGTAAAATGAAACGCCATGATGAAGAGCCTTAGGCTGTGGTTTGGTAGGAAGTGAGTCGATGGTTTGGTTCAAAGGTGTCCACCAAAATATACAAGGAGACAAGTGGTGTTCCAGTGCATAATATTTTAAGTACAATTACCAAGGAATAAGATGAATCACCACCATCAAAACCCCATCGTAACGCAGTCCCAAAACGACAACAAATTTAATTTCACATGCAGTTGAAAGTTTGTGCCTACATAAATGTAGATCACTGCCCAAATGAAGCGGTCAAATGTGTCTGAAAATCTTGTCGTGCAAACGTGAGGAGAATAGCCTCCTATATTCGCTAAATAGACTATACGACAGGCCGATGCAGTGACTTGTGAAGGATACTATTGCCTTAGGGGCTTCGCAAGAAGAGGTCCGAGCATTTTTCTTTTCTTTCTTTTTATTTTTCTTCGAGGCAACCATGTCAGATTAACGGGCTCTTCACAAATAAGCTTCAATTTCAGGATCCACCTGCTCTAAAGTGCTGGCAACTTCCTCCCACAGTCTCTCCTGACAGCTGACTCCTTCAGCGCTTGACGAGAAACGAGAAACGCTACAGCAGTTAGTCACATGCGGAAACTCAGGGCCATTTAGTGTACTTACGGTACTTGACTTCCTTGACTATAGTAGCTGGCCCCACTGTTCTCTGCCAGTTCGGCTACGGAGGCAATCAAGATCATTCTTGCTCCCTCCTCACATGACCGAGCGAAGCAATTGGCTAAAAGGTCTGTGGGTGCAGATCTCACATTCCGGAATAACTCACTTTTGCATAGACCAGGAGACGCCAGAACGACCAAAAGCTTTTCAGGATCAATGCGTCGAGAAAGAGCAAGGGCCCAGAGAAGCCCAAATAATTTGGAGGTATAGTAGTGGGTGTAGTGGTCAAAGGATTGGGGTTTCTGCTTGAATGTGTCTAGGATGCTGTTGTTTTGCATAAAGCTGGTTGGAACCATTGCGTGTCCCTCGGACGTCACGAAGACAATCCGGGGTTTACTATTTTTATAGCGAAGATGTGGGAGGATAAGCATGGCGAGAAGAGCATTTGATAACACATTCACCTAGACCATATTAGCACATCGAATCAGTGTCAATAAACTTATGCACACTCACCTGTAGCGAAAGATCGAACGCATCTGCAGAGGCCATCCACTGAGAGCACCATACCCCAGCATTCAGAATGACTAAATCAAAAGTTTGGGATTCCTGGCTCATTTGGTTCACAAAAGCTTTGACCGAATCGAATGAGGCAAGATCGCACTCTCGCACCTCAACTTGGGCTGCTGGGACTTGTTCGAGGATTTTCTCTTTTGCCGCCTCGCCCTTTGGGACTGACCTGACTGCGGCCACCACTTTAGCCCCGCGAGATGCCAGTTCTAATGCTAGGCAAAACCCAATCCCGGAATTTGCCCCAGTCAAGAGAACTGATTTCCCGTGGAGCTCAACTGGGGGGGCCTCCGGGATGGTATAGAAAAACTGTCTGAAGAGAAAGGCAAGAAGGCCATCATAATAGGGTACCATGGTAATTTCGTGAGTCTTTGGTCTGAAGGAAGAACCGGCTAATGGGATATCAAAAGAACTGATGACAGCCAGGGAGGGGAGCGTTAATAATAGCAGCTAATCCTTATGGAACATACGTACAAAGCCATTAGCCCTGGCTCCATTGCCTTTCTTTTTCTTTTTCTTTGCCTTTTTTCTTTCCCCCTCCCTCTGGCCGCAGGCCTACGGAATGTATTCTTACGCTACTCTCTCTAGGTCCACAGTAGGCTTCACCTTCACGTCAATCAATACGAAATGATCTACAGAAAGAGGCGGTCAGTGGCAAAGCGGTTATGGGGTGTTTTGTTCATATTATCTTTGTTTTGTTTTATTCCATTTCATCTTATTTTGTATTTTTGCCGGTTGCACCCTCGCCTTCGAGGAAAGCAAAGCCGGTAACTACACCCCCTTGCAGGGATCCAAACGCCAAGTTTTCACACCAGCCTGACGTACATTGACGTCGGCATTTTGTAAACTGACACACTTCTGGAAGCTCGTATGGTTCGCTACAATGCATCGTTTGCTCACAAGGAGTCCCGGGGAAGCTAATGGGGTGTGGGGGGAGCGGGATATGTATCATTATCCAGGAAAGAATGGCATGGGTTGATAACTTTATTCGCCATGCCAGGTTGCCTTACGTACTTGGGTTGAACTAGTCGAATGTAGGGTAGGATGAGGAGGGCCTCTTCTTAAGTTAAGCTTTGTGGAGGAACACAAGACTTCTCCTTGAGATTTCGACAACATATATGCCGGGTTTGCTCATAGCTGTACTTGCTCTATCGCTGCAGATAGAAAACTCAACACAATGGAGAAAATTCTTAAGATGGGCTCGGACAAACCAACCTATGCTGTGTACGGCCCTGCCTCATGTACCAACCCATTGTATGCCTTTTTTTTTTCTATACTGACTCCTATAGAAAAACTGTTATTTCTGCTCTTCTTGAAGAGGCCGCGCTGACACGAGCACTCCTGGACGACAATTCCACTGCACACATTGGAAACGCTATAGTGTGCTTTTCTACCCGATTGATTGGCTCAGATTTGACATTCGGACAGCTCAAAACCATGCTCCCAGGGATGGCCTTGACTACTTTCGCATTTTCATATACTTTTGACATTGCGAACCAGACTTTCTCGGTGGAAGAGGACACAATAAACAAGCCGAATCGACCCATTCCATCCGGCAGACTCAGCATAAATGGCGCATACACGCGCTGGCTACTCAGCTGGGTTATTTCGTTGGCCGTTATAGGATTGACAGTCAGTCTTCAAGCTGCTTTAGTGCTCCTTCAGTGGGAAATGTGGGTTTCGCTCTTCTACGTGTGGCCAAAATTCCAGAATTGGGTCGCGCGGAACCTCTTCACTGCGGTTGGGGCCACGATTCAGCTGAGGTTACTGGATACCGTGCTTGTAAAAGCCATTCCGTCTTTCCGGGCGGATAGCTCCCTTATGTGGCTATTATTCACCTGGTTGGTGTGGACCATCCATGTGCAGGAGTTTCACGATACGGAGGGTGATCAGAGAGTTGGTCGCCAAACGTTGCCGCTGATTGTGGGGCGTCGAGGGCAATTCCCGCTGCGTGTTTTGACTGCCATGATTATTGGTGGCACTGGCGTTTCCAGTATCGTTCTGGCTCCAATTTGGCGTACCCTAAATCCGGCTATGTTATATCTAGGATTAGCCCACCTACTCTTCATGTTAACCGTCGCAGTTCGGCTGGTGGTGCTGCCATTCAAGGAGGCTGACAAGGTCACCTATAAGTATTACTATATTCTGGCAACCTACAGTATGCTGCTCTTTCGTCAACATACCGGAAGGCTAGGCTCATTTGGTTGGAATGCAACTGAGATTAGGTAACTCTGCGTCGAACCATATGTGTCACTGGCCTATCGTGCTCTGTCCATTTCCCTCAGCCTTTGGCCTTCCATTTCATATACGTGTTTTATTCATCTACTTTATCTAGAGATCTACCATATTCAGAATAGTCTCGTACTATAATTTACAAAAATGTTTGAAGGGTATTGAATCCTATCGTGTTCTCGAACATGCCGTCGTCTTGGACTCTGCATCAACATCGGGAGAACAGCACGGGTCATGTTTACCGGCCCGAGCAAATTCGTGGCAATCGGTTTTGCGAAGGATTCGGATTGGAGTTCGTAAAATGGAAGTCGGTTTATTGGCATTGCTGCACAGTTGATGAGGATGTCCGGGTTTCCTAGCTTTCAAGCAATTCAGTCGGACAGGTCTGATATAGCGCCGGGGGAATACTCTGAGCTTACTTCAACCCCGACTTTATTCAAGATCGCCTCAACCTCGCTGTTATCCGACACGTCGCACTTGTAATACTTGCTAGCTGGGGTGCCTGGTACCTCTGGCAAACTGGCCTCATCTTTGATATCTAGGATGGCCACCTTGGCACCTTTGGCCCGGTACAACTGCACGATCTCGCGTCCCAGTCCGCTCAACCCTCCTGTGACCAGGACTACATTGTCTTCTGCAAGGAATGAATGAGTAGTGGAGCCCTAGTTCCTATACTTCGTCCACAAGAATGCCAAGCCAGAAACGACTACCGTGCCCGCGACGACGATGCAAAACTCTTTTGCCATGTTTTTGGGATATTGGGGAAGGATTGACACAAGTGAGCAAGTGAATAGGGAGAGAAATGTGCCCAATGTGAGACCACCACTATTTCTTGATAATGTTAGCCGAGAGAAGTGACATCACACATGTATTTACTTTCAGCCGCGAGTTTGTACTGGAGAATACGAAATGCAAGGTGGAACACACTCATGCTGGTCGTTGTTGAACGCTAATGTCAATTTACTTACTGCCTAGTTTCTGCCAAATGACATGTCCAATTGATATAGTCTGGTGTGGGACCTTAAAGGATAGGATTGACCACGATAAGCCAACTGATCATGGCTCGGCTATTGGTTGGGCTGTCATGCAAAGAGTAGCGGTGTACTTACGCCGGTTCATGCAACAACAAATTTGAAACTCTACTACGCGAGAGTTAAAACCCCCAGACTAACGCAAGAGAACCGTTTAATGCAGCAACACACGAATGGCAGAAGAGTTCATAGGAAACAAAAAGGACACAGAGTAAGGATCCTTGGACGAATTTGCAAAACACTCGTTTCATTACAAGTTACATAGGATCGGCATTTGCCGCATATATATAACTGTACATGTATATATACACATGGAAAATCGTAACGCAATGTAGCTATCACCTTTCCTATCCCACTGAACACGAATCTTTTCATAATCTTCTTCTTCTTCTTCTTCTTCTTCTTCTTCACTCTCGTCGCGCTATGGCCATGATTCTGGAACCGGAAAGACGACTCCCGCTATCGAACCAAGACCTCCTTTCCTATGTGTTTGACCAGCCCGCATATGATCGGACGAAATCAGTACAGCGGACTCCCAGATTTATGTATGCTGGTACTGACTGTGGGTTGACAGATCTACATCGACGCCCACAACCCGTCCCGCTCCATATCATGGAACCAGGCTCGAACAATCATCCGCCAGCTGATCAAGGGACTGCGGAACTCGGGACTACAAGATGGAGATTGCGTGGCAGTCCATTCGCTCAACAATGTCAGGCGTCCGCTGAACCCATCCCGCTGAACTCTCAAAATTAACCTTCTTTCCTAGATTTATTATAGTGTCGTCGTACTAGCTATTATAGGATCCGGAGGTATCTTCACCGGCACCAACCCCTCTTATACAGCAGGGGAACTCCAACATCATCTCAAGACCTCTAGATCCAAGTTCGTAATCTGCGAACCTGAGTTCGTGTCTTCATTGTTGGAATCGGCAAAACAAGCCAGTATCCCCAATGAGAACATCTGGGTCTGTGATGCCACTGGAGATGCTACCCTTTCATCTGGTCTGCAATCCTGGACACTACTTCTAAAACAAGGTGAATGCGACTGGGTCCGCTTCAACGACCTAGCCATCGCGAAGAAAACAACCGCAGCCCGATTCTTCAGCAGCGGCACCACAGGTCTCCCGAAAGCAGTGGAAATAACGCACCACAACCTACTCGCCCAGCATTCTCTTGTTTTTGAAGCTCACCCAAGGCCGTATTCCGTTAGCTTTCCCTGGTCTCCCCCCCTCGTTATCTCGAAACTGACTGTACGGGTCAGGTGTCCCATCTAATCGTCCTCCCTGCCTTTCACGCAGCCATTGCTCCCCTCATGCATATCGGGGCCCTGCGATCGGGATACGTGATGTACATCATGCGCCGGTTTGAGCTCAACTCATATCTTGAATTCGTCGAAAAGTACAACATAACGGATCTGATTGTCGTGCCGCCTATCCTGACAGCCATCTTGAAGTCAGAACATCCAGAGACAGAGAGGTGTCTGAAAAAGGTGAAGAATATCGTCTGTGGTGCTGCGCCTTTGGACAAAACTATACAGACTCAGGTCCGCAACCTACTATCCAACGGCGTGCCACTAACCCAAGCATGGGGTATGACCGAGACGTGTTGCGCGTCGATGATATTTCCATATCCAGAGGAAGATGTTACGGGTTCTATAGGACGGCTAGTTCCAAACGTTGAGGCCAAGTATATATACCTATCTCCATTTCCCCCATTCTGACATGTTTTCCTTTTGTGAATTCACACCTCCTGTCTGCTAACTGCGACCAATATCCAGGTTGATCGATGATGAAGGTAGAAATATATCTTCATACAATGTCCCCGGTGAGCTCTGCATCCGCGGCCCTACCGTAACACCCGGCTACTTCGATAATGCCTCTGCGAACAGCTCCGCCTTCGATGACGACGGCTGGCTTAAGACAGGGGACATTGCAAGCCGCGACGAGGCCTCCGGGAAATGGTATATTGTTAACCGGAAGAAGGAGCTTATCAAAGTCAACGGGTTTCAGGTTGCGCCGTCGGAGGTGGAGGCAGTTCTGCTGTCTCATCCGGGGGTAGCGGACGCGGCCGTTGTTGGAGCTCGTAATCCCGGTGATGGGACTGAGAGGCCTTGCGCATTTGTTGTGCCTAATCTGGGGGAGAAGGTTACTGGTGCTGAGTTGAAGCTGTATGCCGCTCGGCTGTTGGCGAAGTATAAAGAGCTATCCGGCGGAGTGAGGTTTGTGGAGGCGATACCGAGGAATGCGAGTGGGAAGATTCTTAGGCGGGTGTTGAGGGATCTGTGCGAGGGTAATTCTGGCGCAGAGTCGAAGTTATAGAATAGGTGATCATATTGTTAACATGGATGAGCACGTCATCTTTCAGAACTGCGCTTATATTGATAATATAGAATACACGGCCTTCACTATATTTATACTATTTGGCCTGTCCGCTTTCTCTTACCAGCGGCTCTAGGAGGCGTAATATGAGTATAGCAGGCTAGAGTTGAAGTAGCATAAGATAGGCTTCATTCCTATGTATATTGTGCATGTCGGGTTGCAAGTCAATGACCTTGCTCTTTACCATTGTGGGATATTTTGTATTCTGCTTTATTTATTTCACTTCGGCATTAACTCCTAATTTTATCCTGTAGTGTTACTCGTTTTCTCTCTCTCTCTCTAGTGGTGTAATATGTCCAGTGTTGACTATATATCCTGTCTACGTGATTAGGGCATTGCTTTAAATACATATTCTCGCTTGAATGTTTTGAACTTAGACTGCTAGACACCCTGTAATGTGAACTACCTTCTTAAATCCAAAGAATACAATTTCATTGTAGCCAAGCTATTTTAGGAATCCTTATAGAAAATAGTTTCTATTTATATTTGCTCTCGAATACGAGAAGGGAGGAAAATGAAGGGTTACTTGCTGACTATAAATGAACCTGCCTAACGATCCATGGAAACCTTACCATGTGACCAACATCTTTATCCAGACGCCACTCCAGGCAGCAATTCTCTAGCCTTTCCTAAAAAAAGGGTCAAATTCCCCCAACTATCATAATGCGCCAACTACCAGGTCATTTCCCGTAATTAATCATGAAAATAGTAATAATTGGCGGAGGCATCTCGGGATGCACCGCATACCTCGAACTAAAAAAGCATCTTCCCAAACCACCCACTCCAGACCAGGATCACGAAATCACCATCTACGAAGCCTACGACACAAACAAAGACACCACCTGCGACGAGCGCGATGGCCCAACCCACTCCTCGACACTTATCGTAGGCGGCGGCCTCGGTATTGGGCCGAACGGCCTCAACGTCCTAAAACGTCTGGATGAGGAACTTCTCCGCGACATCGTCCGCGGCGGATATGTAGTCCCGACGTCCAACATGAAAAACAAGAACGGACGTCTGCTCATACGTATGGACGCATCTGATGAGCCATCGTCGCCAACTGAATTACCCATGCATATGGTCGGGTGTAGCCGACATTGGTTCTGGCGGTGTCTCCGCATGCGCATCCCGGATCGCGATATTGTGACGAAACGGGTCGCGGAGGTTATTGCGAACTCGGACGGTCGGAATGTAGTCCGCTTTGCTGATGATAGTCCCCCAGTAGAGGCGGATTTGATTATCGGAGCGGATGGTTTGAAGGGCATTGTTAAACGGGCGTTATTCCCTGAGGCAGGGGAGGATCCGTTTCCACCTCATTATGAGTATGTGTTGCCTATTGAATGTACCGATGTAGTAATAACTTCGCTGACTCGATACAAACAGAGGCCTGTCCGGAATCGGTGGTTTTATTCCGGCAGACAAAATCAAAGACGACGTCGAAAAAGGCTCGATGAACTTCATCATCGGAGGTAATGGCTTCTTTGGCTACTTCTACTCCGACAGTGCCCGATCGGCACCCCACAGGGACTCACCACATCACGTCTCCGAGCCAGGCGAGAGTCTCGGCTGGTGGTCAACTTACCAAGTCGATGAGTGTCCGAACCCGAAAACCATCGATAAAGAGGATGTCGCACGTCAACTGCGAGAACGCTACTCCAGCTGGAAAGATCCAGTTATTCAGAAAGTCCTCCATTCACTCGAGGTCAGCAATATGTATCCTACCTGGACGATGCCACCTCTGCCGACCTGGGAGCGAAATGGCGTCGTTCTTGTCGGCGATGCAGCTCATGCATTGCCTCCTACTTCGGGACAGGGCTCATCGCAGGCGCTTGAGGATGTCGAGGCGTTTGTTCTATTTTTAAGTCACTATTTACGTAAAGAATATGAAACCAGGGGACCTGATGTCGATGTAAAAGGAGCGATCTCGACCGCAGCTAAACCCTACATGGAGCTACGCATTCCTCGTGTCCGGGCTATTCTCGAAGATGCCAAGCAAAGACAGAACATCAAGCGTGATATGACCGTTTTTGAGGAATATGTAATGTACAGTTTTCTATGGATACTTGGTGAGTATTGTGTTTCTACAATCTAGCTCTAGCCTGGGCAGCCTTTGTTGGAACTATTACTGACAGATATAGGGTGGTTTCCAAGCTTCTTTGCGAAGGAGATGAAGGCCGTCTTCAATTATAATATCGCTGATGAGGTAAAGAAGATACTCGAAGGTAAAAACTAATATTCAACAGCACGCACACGCATCTCTCCTCTCTAATTCCACCAACAACAGTATGATTATGTAGCATCTAAACATGTACACTAAGACAAAACACTACCCAGCTCAAACCCCAAACTTATTCCTCGTAATGTTCATCAATAGACTAAAGACTCTCTTACATCCTTCTTTATCCCTCTCATCCATCGTCTTCTGACTATTCTCACAATGCGCACATTACTTCTCCCGACACGTCCGGGAATACTCCCCGCACGTGTAATATTTCTCATAATGGCCGTTCCTGAAAGAGGGTTTGCCCAATGCTTCCTTACATATGGTGTTGGTGTTTGCCACTAACATGCATGTCAGGACCAGTTATATCGGGGCAATGAGAACTGTTACTATAGAATCACATAAAGCCCGGTAAATCTGGATAGCTATGCCGAATTCACTAAGCCCTATTAGTACCAGGGCTTTAAACCAATATTCTATTACAAAGCCCACAGAGCAAATGCCCTAATATCCAAAGTCTCGTAAGCTACTACGGTATATACCAGAACTATACCAGAATCCCTTCCGACTCATATGGCCGAAGACGTACTCCACACCTCATCATGGGACATGTTACCTCTGATTCTTGCGACGTCGAGAGCCACTCTCGTATCTAGCTACTTCAATTATCTGCACCCCAAAAATGACCTATCCAAGCCAAGCCCACATCCCCAGGATACTACATCACAACCCGGAACGGGGATTCGACCACTCCAGCTAACAACCAAGACATATACGAAGAACACACACACACACACACACACACACACACACACACACAGTGACTAAGAACCCCATTGGGAAATAAGAACAGGACAGGACCCCATATAGCGCCACATCGGGCCACTCGAAACACATCCAATAACCCGACTCAATCAAACCAACAATCTCCGCCGTCCAAGAAAACGCCCATTCAGCCACCGGTCGGCCTTATTCCAACTTCATAGCCTAACTATATATATCCCAGGATCTCATTCGCCAGAAACACAGATCACAGATCTGCGATGTCATAAACTTGAACCCCCAGACCCGGGAGATATCCAATTGGATGATACCTGAGTCTCCAAATATAGTAGTGAAGAAAAGAACCCGCCTTTGCACCAATAGATAAGACAATTTATCATTGCATTGCCACATGGAAATAGTACCAATGGATGGAATAGTCATCTATCATAGGTTGTTTCGGATAAAGGATCCGCTCGACGTCACCACGTCGCTGGCGAGAGGTAAATACGAGGATCTCTCTTGGCGAAAGTTAATGGGGCGAAGAGAGAGAAACAGCAGCAATGGGATGCTTGCTTCTATGCTCCGAGTACGAGGTTGTTGTGCTTGGCTGGCATCAATAGTAAGTATGATGCTACCTAAATATCATCAGGAGATGAATGGTTGTGCTGGTACAGGGGAAGGCGTGGACAGATATAAATATGGGGGATTCTATCACCACAAGTATAGAAACCAGATCATCAACAACATTCAACAATTAACAATATACTACACAATTCCATTACCATACTCAAACACATACAATTCAACCCATACTCCACAAACCCAACTACAAACCATCCAAAATGAATCTCCTACTCCTAACTCTAACCCTCCTCACCACCACCCTCACCACAGCAACCCCAACCCCCCGCCAGGACAGCCTCGTCTGGCCATACGAAACCTACCGCTACTGGGTCCAAACCGGCAACTGGAAACTGGACCCACAAGACCAACTCCTCGTCGTGAAAAACGGCAACGCAGCAGACGAAACCACCACTATCGTAACCTTCAACATCCCCACCACAGCCGACGGTCACAAATGCAAGCTCCTATTCGACCTCTGGGACCGCGACGTCTCCAGCGGCTCAAAGCAGGCCGACGTGTTCACGGCCACCAGGCCCACTGGCGCGAGTGCTTCTGACTCGAATACTCAGTCTGTGTCGCTGCAGTCTGTGTCGAAGGAGGTCGCCGATGTGATTGTTCAGTCGAGGGAAGAGCATGTCGGCCGGATTAGTGTTTCTGCGCCTGGCACGGCTGACTGGGTGTTGGCTTATCAGGGGTATCCCGAGTTTGATTGTCCTGCTGGGCAGATGGTTGGGTTTGAGTTTGTCGGGGTTAATGATGAGGTTGCTATTAGGTGGGATATTGGGGTTACCGGGCCTAGGGTGCAGGTTTTGTAGGTTGGTTATGTTGTTTGGTGGTTTGGATTTTGGGTTGGTGAGTTTTTGGGCTGGGAAGAGGGTGAGATCGGAAGAAGCGTTTGTAGTCTGTTATGACTTGATGGTATTTGCATAGGAATGACTTGGTTTGTTGTGTTTATATCACTGAATATATGAATCTTGCTGAGAGTAGGTCAAGTTGACTTCGTCTCGTGCAGGGGGATCAGTAAGATATAATTTCCGGTTCATGTATCTGAATAGGTAGTCATACTGTAGGTCCAATCTAAAGACAGTGGGGATTATGTGCTGCAAACCATGGTCACTGAAGGGACACGATAAATGAAAAGTAGTTACAAGGAGACGTCTAAAGATGATATGAGTTTTATGCGCTAAAGTAGAGTCCAACTGGCCTAGGCCATTATAGCTCAGCGTATAGTATACGACGTAAAATTAATTAATTAATTAGCGGCATTCGGGTATATCTATGTACAGTGCTTCCATCTCTCACGAATTTCACGTCACTCCGCTGGAAGTATCTTCAGTCCTGAGCTTATTTTGAACTCCTTCGTCTCTTCCGCAACGGTCAATGACACCTCCAGTTCCAATTCATTCCTGTGCAGAATGTTCCAGGTGACAAAATCAGGGGAGGGACCCCTGTAAGTTGTGTTACGTAGCCCCCCAACGGTGGAGCCGTCAGAATGAAAGAGCAGCCCAAGCATATTGCCGATGTCGACCGGCTCGTTCCCTTTTCCAGTAGTAAAGACAACAGGATTCTCGAGTCGCAGGAACGCTTTCCTCAAGCCAATAGTATGAGAGGAGGAATGGGAGTGGCTGTGAGTGTATTTCGGAGTGAGGTTCCCTGGTGCTCGCACCATAGTCTCGGACTTGATTGTCATGTTCACCCAATTCAACTGAATCCTCTGGGTGACATCGCTAATCTCAGGACTTGTGCTAGAAGGCCTGATACCAATGATAATCGGAACAGGTGCCGGGTGATTGAGCTTGATAGAATAAGGCCAACTAACTTCAACCGTATAATGGAACTCTGGCACCTTCGACGAACCGAAGAGCTTTTGCGTCTTTTGCTTCAGTGATAGCTCGGCATGTTCCATTCCGGGTAGTAGCCGTTGGCTCTTGGCCCTTCCTGCGAGCACGCGCGACTGAAGCTCATAGTTGAAGATCCCGGGCTGTGGGACTTGTCGAATTGTGATAGGAAAGGTCGCGGTTTCGACCTCAAACGACCCGGAGCGACCATATCTCAGCTGAGCCTCGAGGTAGTATTCCACAAAGCCTTCGGAGGACGTACGCCAGCCGCGATCACTGGAGAAGAAACTTGCAGGCAATGTGCTCTGGGCAAGGATCTCCTTATCCAACGGTAGATAACTCTCTTCCTTGCAGTGGCCCTGCAGCACCTGATCCGATGGTCGTGTAGGAATCTCGACGGAGAATGGCCATGTGAGTGGGTCGTTGATACTCCCCTCTGGAAGATGTAATGGTCCACGGAAGAGAGTCTCGCGCGATGTGCGGAAAAGGTGCCACCGACCGCGGTAATGGCTGGTACTAGTCGTCTGGCCATTGTTCCTCTTCACCGTGATCTTTGTTTTCACGCGTCCCACCAGTGTAAGTGTCACCTGTGCATCGGGTGTGACGATATGCGAACGGCGGACCACATTGCCAATAACGGTATCCCCACCGATGTATGTCCAGCCGGGGGGTGAGGCGAGGTCGATGTTTATGTGCTCGTTGCCGGTTTTCGGAGTTTGTGGCATGTTGTGTTTTTGTTTATTTGATTGTAGATGAAGGTAAGATGGTGCACAGGGGAAATGTTCAACAATATAAAGGAACTACTTCCGTAAATCTTAGCGAATACGACGTCATCTGACGGAGTATAAACAGTGGCTGAGTTTGAAGCCGGGCAACTCAGGCAGTAAGGCTGACTTTCACTCCATGGTCAGGCTATACCATATTAGGCATAGGCTGTGAAAATCGATATAAGCTTGAGTGGCTTAGAGGGTATGAAGGATGGAACCATGACTATCCCAATCCAACCTTTTATTTGAATCTTAGTAAATGATATCCCCTCACAAGTTATGCAATAGTTATCTTGTTGTGCGACGCTAGGAAACCAGTCAGGATGCTCTCTCAATCTAGTCAATATTGGTTTATATTGCTCTTGTTGTATAGAGAGAACTCAATCAACACAATGTAACTATCAGTCATGATGCAACCGTGACTTGGGGAGCATCAGCCAGGAAACACCAGTAGCTCCGAGCAGCCCGACTAGCATCGGCTGCAGCACTGATACACCGACCTTCGCTGCCATGACACCAGTAACAGCTGGGAATATAGCCCCTCCGACCTGGCCGAGGACGAAGATGAATGCTTATCCTAATTATTAGCTTCACTTCTTTCGCCATATGAATGAGGCGACATACCAAGTGCCGATGAGCGAATCTCCACAGTAAAGATCTTCGATGCGACCGAGATACCCTGGGCCGTTAATGAATCATTCAGTAACTCGCGATAGAGTAACTTACTGTAGCAAAGAAAGGACCCGAGAAAAAGCCGAGAAGACTGATGGCTACTGCTTCGGTAATGATATTCGGAACGCTAGTCGCATTAGTATCATTGCGCATAAGGATTTACCAGTACTCACAGCCAGAAAACCAGTTCTAGTCCCACACAGAGCAACACGTAAATGAACACCATCCGTCGCTCTCCCCAGCGATAGGTCGGTTCAGCCAATATCAGTCGACCTAAAAAGCCGCCGCCATAAAAGCCGGCAGGGACATATCCCATGTCGTTCAGGTCCCCATTGCGGACGTGAACCAGGTATTCCACGATCCAGCCTACAATATAAGCATCTCTACTCCCAGGAAAGGGTGGAAAGCTTACCTCCAGCAGTGATAACGGCACCTAGGAAAAAGAAGAAATATAAACTCAATATCCACACGCTCGGCTGCGCCAGAGTCTTCTGTATCTCTTGCATGGCGCCCTTTTGTCTCGCTCCCTGGGCGGAGTCCATCTCGCCGTGTGCGGGACGCTTAAGGGCCAACGACTCACGGAATGCAATAACCACAAGGACGAAATTGATGACGCCCAGTCCTAAAGGCGCTGTGTAGAATAATTCCCAACGCGACCGTACTCCAGCCGATGCTACTGCTGTGGAGATGAAGGGTCCGGCGAGACATCCCGCCATATACATCGCATGGATGAACCCGAGCCATCGGTGTGCTGCTTTTACCGATGCCACGAACGTGTTGGCGTACGTGTCCTGATATGCTTGACCAAGACTGGCAAAGAAGAACGTCACAGCGAATAAGGGGAATGGGGGCAGCCAGGTTCTCAGAGCATGGGCGAGGACTTGTAATGTCGCTCCCATGACCAAAAACACGCCAAGGTCCAGATACTGACTGAGATGACTATTGGAGAGAGCAGCGAAGAACCAACCGCAAAAGGTCGTGCCATACCTGTATTTTTAATATTAGTGTCGTGTTTGAAAAGATGGCGGAATAACTAACACAACAGCCACCATATTGGTGTCTATGTGGTAGGCTTCTCGAATGTACGGAATCAACGATCCCAAGCTCCCATCATTGACGCCGGCTACGAAAAACGCGAAACCGGCGCTGATGAGTTTCAGGAGTAGTCTTGGGGTTTGCGGTTCTGGCTGAGGATTATCTACTTGTACGGACTCCATTGCGAGTAATGCAGTTACTGTTGTTTGTATCCAACAGTGAACAGGGTCTCTAACCAAAACTATATAATTTTGAACAACAAAGCAGTGCAGCGGAATGACGGACCGAGAATTAAGTAGGTAGTTGATTAAATTACCGAAAGCGGTAAAATTTGCAGCAAAGACCGGAGCAAACAAAACCTCCACCCACAGAGCCCTAATTAAATCTCTATCGAATCACAACCCCGGATATTCCTCTAGAGTACATGAAATGGCGCTCATTGCGGCCAATAGTATTGACCCTTGTCCAGCGCCGTCTGCAATTTCGGATCCACATGGACAAACCCCGCGTCGCCCAATTGGGGAAAGTCCTGGATGATCAAGCTGGCGACCATTCCTCCGAAGACCTGGCTGCCAGCCGCGTTCAAATGCGTCGAGTCACCCGCTTTCAAATCATACATGTGCGCACTGACCGGCCCAATACTATTCAGGTATACCGTGCTGGCGCGGTTCAAGTCAATATACGACGCTCCCGTCTTTTTTGCTGCCTTGATCGTCGCGACCCGCTCATTTTCTAGACTCCGGATAATAGTGGGCACTCCGGTAGAATTATCATACTGACGCCGAGAAAGTGGAGTCACTAGGACGGGGACTCCCCCCGCATTCCGCACATCTCCGACGAAAGTCTCCAAATTGCTCGTGTACTCTGCGATGGTGATATTGGCTTTTGGCTTCTGGTCGTTGTGGCCGAATTGAATGGTCACGTAGGGCTGATAATTGGCTTTCACCTCCTCAACCTTCTTGAGGAGGGTGTCCCAGTCACCTCTCGCGCGGAAGCTGACGGTTGTGGCTCCGTTGCGGCCATAGTCCTGACCTTTAGCACCCTTGGACAAGGTCGTCTGGATGAAGCCATTTCCCCAACCACCTCCGTTCGTCGTTTGGACCGCTGTTGTGCTGTCTCCTGCCAGGAGGAAGAATGGCGATTTGTCCGCAGGTGACCTGGGGAGACCCGGGAGAGCGTGGAGGGTGAGGAAGAAGAAGAATAGGAGGTACAGCTTCATGATGGTGGGCTGCAGGTTCCAGAACGTGGGCTACCCCTATTACAGTGAAGCGATCGCTAGTATTTATCTACATTCTGGGGTGAATTTTTTGTATCTCGGCATTCCTGGAGCCAGAGACTTCAAGCATGTGAGAAGCTATGTAATCATGCAGGGTTCATCATGGACCAGAGCAGGAAATGAGAAAGGGTGGGGGCATGTGTAAATGAAGCATTTCCTTTACGGGGATGGTACTCGGTTCTAGATTCACTAGAGCATATGGCATCATTAAACCAATTTAGGTATGCCCCTGTGGGCCACCTAGAGTCTGGGGAAGATCGATCACTCGGGAGATATTCCCCACGAAGATACTAGGTTGAAATTCGACATAGGATGAGAATGAAATCTGGGGATAGGGCATGCGAAACGTGCGAGAGGGCCAACGACTGAAGATAAATAAATGTTCGGCGTGTCCGAGACCGACTGACTGATTTGGGCAACACTTACTACCCAAGTGGCTAAGGCCCCCTGGTCTCTCGTATTAATACCATTGGTTCATCTGGAGCCAGGAAACAGGGCACCAGAGAAAAAGCCCTTAATTATGGAGCCCGCAACTTTAGTGACAACAAACCTCGTATCCCACGAGAACGTGACAGGCGCAGGTTGCATCGCCTCTTTGTTGGTTGTTGGCCAAGACCTCCGATGGTTCAAGTAGTGGGTCTGGGCACCAGCGAGGCTCAAAGGAATTTGGTAGACTTTCCGTTTGAACCGTGGATTCAAAGTATACTGATTCAGGGAACAGGTTCCGTGCTTAATCCAGTATTATCTGGAGAAGCATTTTATATGTTTTTCGGTCAGGGCACGTACCCTATATTCATCACCACCAAAGTCTCTCAACAGGATTTGAACGGTGCAGTATAAATAGTTACACATATCGATTTGACCTGGACTGCGCCCCATTTATAGTAGACCCTGTACAGATGGTTGGGTTTAACATTGCCCACTGCACAAATTGCTAAGAAAAGACAATATTGTCCCACCGGGTGCACGACCAGAAGTCCATCCGTGCTGTACAAACTCGCGAGATAACAGCAAATTTACCTGTTCCAGTTTAAGTTCCGCTGTCATCTTTGTTCCCTATGGTTCGTTTTTTTCTGATGGTTGGACCAACTCAGCCTTTGTCCCAAAGTCTTGGAAAATGTAACCAATAGAGGAGGATGGTTCTCTGCGTCATGGCTGGCATGGCAGCCACCCTGCATCTTTGCAGTAAGCTTCCTTCGTTTGTAAGGCCGCCCACTCTTCAGGGCCTTTCTTCTTCTCATTGCCTCGCTGGCTCTTTCTCTCCTCTCCCTTATAGTCTACCATGCCAGCTTGAGCGCAGGAAGTCCCCGTCGTTTATCGCCAGCTGCCAAAAATGTCGCTCATTCATCTGATGACATGGCTGTTGATAACTATCAATTCTTTATCGCTTGGGGTGTCAGCACAGACAACTACAACGGAGGCATATGCTACGGCGACCGAGACGTCCAAAGGAGCCGCCACACATACTATCCAGGTTGGACCGAGGAGTGATCCTCATCAGTATGTACCCAGTAGCGTCAACGCATCCGTTGGCGACGTAATAGTATTCGAATTTTATCCGCGAAACCATTCTGTGGTACGAGCAGACTACGACGCACCATGCGTGCCTGCCCAGACGAGCGGTCCCGTCTTCTACTCTGGCCATTTCAACAAATTCAACGAAGAGAATGGACAGATGATAGGACCGGTAGGTTTACATCCGGCGGATAATTTTCGTTTCTATTACTGATATTATTTAGCCACCCACATGGTCGTTGGTTGTGAACGACACCAAGGTGAGACCGATCCCTCCGACTACTCTTTAAATCGCACATTCTTATAGAGCTTAATTTAGCCTACTTTCTTCTACTGTACTGCCATCGGCTCATGCAACGTGAATGGAATGGTCGGGGTGATAAATCCGGTCAGTGATCATGATACCACTCACTTAGAATCTCTCTTTCCTGACCGAAGTAGACCGCAAATATGACATGGGAGCATCAAAACAAGAAAGCGATAAATTACCCCTACCAGCTGGAACCATGGGAGCATATCCCTGCCGAAGGAGAGAGTCCCACCTCATCAGCGACCTCCAGCCCTTCGCCATCGTCGTCCGGAAGTCACCTCAGCGGTGGCGCCATAGCCGGGATAGTTGTTGGAGCTGTAGCATTTATCGGACTTCTCGTGGCATTCTTCTTCGTTATGGGTCGGAACCAGGTATACAAGAAGTGGATGACATCGCAGGATGGGACCACGGAGCGAACAGCTCGCTGGGCTCTGTTCAACAGCCACGGGGAACGCAAGAGTGACTTCGATAGCACGCAGCCTCCTGGTGATCAAGCGACGTATATGCCAAGCCCAGATCTCACCAATCGGACCTATATGTCAGGGCAAGGACAATATGGCTGGGATCCGTCTATGTTCCAGCCCATGCCACAGTCACCGCCGCCGCCAAGAAACATAGCACCCACCGAGTTAGAAGCGCCCGATTCGGTAGCTCATTATCGGACCGATGGAAGGTGACGGGTAACTATCCAGTAATGCTTATGCGATATGGGAGTTAGGATAATGTTTTGTTTGGTACAAGGAAGGCCGAGCGCCGGTCAGGGCGAAAATGTTTCGGGCATAGGTTCTTGTTTGGTTGATATCCTGAATCGTTGTATGTTGTCCATATTGATTTTTATTTGTCATGAATGCATAATAGACTTAGTGACGAGATTTCTCAGCATGACATTTGCAACCTGGTGACAAAGCAGCATCAAGTGCTTTTATTTATCTCCAACTTAATCCTTGTTATCATGTCTAGGAACTGATGAAGGCGTAACAAAGCCGGTGCAGAACACCATAGGACTATGATTTGTCACGACAGAGCATTGTCCAAGCAGCTGCCATTTATGATCAGCTTCAATAACAGAGAGAAGAGACATGTTTGTGTTGCAAGGAGCCCTGGTAGAGTCGCCGATCTCGTGTGCGTGTGCTGAACGCAATGCAACCTAAGACAGATCTCCCCGCATTTTCACTCCTTCAACTTGAAGCTATCGCAGAAGCGGGGATGGGTCATGTGTCTCCACTAGCCCTCGTTGGTGTACTCCGTACTATTACTATCTTAGGTAGTCGAAGTCTTCATGGTCTGATACCCAATTATTCTCAAGTAAACGATAGGTCAAGCAACCCGTGCGAAGGCTAATCAATTTCCTTTCCGATAAGCTTATCACTTGGCAAAACATTGGCATCGCCATCTCTTCCCTCTTCGGGCATCGCCAGTCGGACAAGCACCGCTCGTCGAAGCTGAGATAGAGACGTCTCTTATCAGTGTTATGCTTAATTCGCACGTTAAGACTCACTAGTTTCAACTTTGAACTTGGACAGCTAGAGTAGATTCAGACAGGCTCATACCAACTTTGATAATGTACTTATCGTTATCATCATCAGCTCCTTTTTCTCATCCCCGCACGGCAGCATTACTTCACTACGACTCGTCTGGTGGTGTTACATTTAAACTCAGGATGTCCCCCGCACCTTTTTCCCTCCTTCCCAGAATTTAGATTCATTGGCAATATGGATAAGAAGAGCGTTATAGATGACCATCAGGTCTCAAAAGAGGATGCGGGCAATGGAATAGTCACCCAATATCGTGAGACCCAGCGTGGTCTCTCCTCCAGACAAGTGCAGTTGATGGCCATCGGTGGCTCTATCGGAACGGGTCTTTTCGTGGGTATAGGATCGTATCTGCGCGATACAGGTCCTTTGTCTGTGTTTTTGGGCTATATGTTCTATGGCATTCTGTTCGTCTGGCCTGTCAATCTTTGTGTTGGAGAGATGTGTGCGTACTTGCCGATTCGAGGTTCTATCTTTGAACTCGCGGCTAGATATGTTGATCCTGCTTTTGGATTTGCAATGTGTGTTTCTCAAATTCGTTCGCGAGCTGGGTACTAACAAATCATCAGGGGATGGGTCTATTTCTATGGCGGCTTAATGCTTGTTTGCACGGAATACTCCGCTGTAGCTACTGTGATGCAATACTGGACTACTAGTGTCAACCCTGCAGCCTGGGTCGCCATGGCGCTGGTTGTTTGCTTTCTGCTCAACATCGTCGCGGTCAAGTGGTACGGAGAAAGCGAGTTCATCATGGCCTCCACTAAGATCCTCCTGTTGATCGGTCTTGTTATGCTCACCTTCATTACCATGGTCGGCGGTAATCCGAAACATGATGTGTATGGATTCCGGAACTGGACTCATGGAGTGATGTACGAATACTATACCGACGGCGCTACAGGACGATTCCTCGGGTTCTTTTCCGTCATGGTATATGCGGCGTTCTCCGTGGCAGGTCCAGACCTACCAGCCTTGGCAGCAGGAGAGATCCAGAATCCACGCTGGACCATCCCCCGTGTCGTCAAAATGACCTTTTACCGCATTGTTGGCTTCTACGTGGTCGGAGTCCTGGCGGTGGGAATCATCTGCTCGCCACAAGACCCTCGTCTTCTATCCGCCATCGACTCGGATGCAGCCGGAGCGAATGCGTCTCCCTGGGTCATCGGAATTCAGAACCTGGACATCCACGGGCTCCCCGATTTGATCAACGTATTGATTCTTTTCTCGGGGTGGTCATGCGGCAACGCCTATCTGTACAGTTCCAGTCGAACTCTATATTCGCTCGCGCGAGACGGGCAAGCCCCGAGATTCCTCCTCAAATGCAATTCGGCCGGTGTTCCCATCTACTGCGTCATCACCGTCTCGCTTCTTTCCTGCATCTCCTTCCTCGTCGCGGACACTTCCGCCGTCACAGTCCTCTACTGGTTCATTGACCTAACCACCTGTGCCTTGATCATCACCTACACCAGTATGGTCTGCGTCTTCCTTGGATGGTACCGTGCGCTCAAAGCCCAAGGAGTCGACCGGAAGACGGCGCTGCCCTGGGTCGCCCCATTCCAGCCATACTTTGCTATAGGAGCTGTGACGATTGGTAGTTTGATCACGTTGTTCAATGGGTTCAACGTCTTTTCGCCGTTCAGCGTACAGGGGTTCATCACTTCATACTTTGGTCTCGCTTTCTTCGTGGTCATGTTCTTGTTCTGGAAGTTGTACCACAAGACCGAGTTTGTAGATCCCGCGACGGCAGATATTTACAGTGGGAAAGCTGAGATCGATGCTGAATGTCGGATCTGGGAGGACGGCGGATTCAAGGAACGACGAAAGGCCGAGCTGGCACAGATGCACTGGGCCAGACGGATGTGGGAGAAGATGTGGTGATCACCGCTATTCCTTTCTGTGTATTTCATATCTTAACTTCTACAACTACATTTATACTCGACCTACAACACTTAACCTACAAAACACCGTGGAACTTATGTATACCACGAAAGTACCAGATATCAGCATTTCAAACCCTCCTTCGGCCTCCACATCATAATCCCACCCTCAGTCTCACCACCCAAAAGCAAAGAAAACCTCCCTCTCAACTCAAACCCCAAACTCCGATACAGTTTCTCCCCATCCTCACTCGCCTCCAACCCAACAACAACCCCATCCTCCTGCCCCCGCCGTAAAACCTCCTCCATCAACCGCCTCCCAATACCCCTCCGCCTCCAGTCCGCAGAAACAACCACACTCTGCGCATGCCACCTCTCCCCATACAACCTCTTCATCTCATCCGACCCCCAGAATCGCAAATCATCCGCCTCAGCAGACTTCTCAAACCTCCCCACCGCATCAGCATCCACCGACCGATCCGGCCGGAGTACATTCTCAACCCATACCCAAGCTGTCATGCACCACCGGCATAGCGTCTTCCAGATGGAGCTCTGCGCTGCGATGAGTCTCCGTGCTGCTTCGTCGTTTCCCAGTCGGATGAACTGCGCATATGCCACCGGTATAGCCGGGTTAGAGACGGAGACGGCAACGAAGCCGATGCATCTGGGGTTGAAGAGGCGGGCGCGGATCCTGTGGCCAAAATATCGGGTGAAGTCTTCTGGGTAGGTGTGGCGGTATGGACTGAGGAATTGACTGAGGGGGGTGTTGAAGTAGGTTGTTGAGGCTAGCTGGGCCATGTAGGGGATGTCGGGGAGTGTCATGCGGCGGATTTGGATTGTGTCGGTTGTCATATTGAAGTTTGGGATATGTGGAATATGTTTGGGTGGTGAAGTTTGGTGGGAGTTCTCTCTCTGGGAGATTCGGTATTTCTTGGTTTGGCTCGGTTTGGGATATTTATTATAGATCGTAAAATCAAAGTATACAAATGTTTTGTCAGTGGGTCGTTGGGTTTATTTGATTTAATATTATATGTTGACGGCGGGTACCCGTTCTGGCCTAGCGCCTACGTGCGCCTTTTGTTAGATAGTCACGTAGAACAATCAACGATTTCAATCTCCATGACAGTTCGTCATTATATAGTTTTAGGCTAAATCAATGAAGTCATCTCTCTTGTCGTAGTCGAATACGAGGTTGCATGAATACGAACTTTTGTTCTTGATTAAATGCATGCTTTGAGTCATTCAGGAGTCTTCACACTGTCGATTAAATTTCTTGGCTCTTGCTGCGCCCTAAACTTGACAAGGTCGTTTGACGTTGTACTGGCAAATAATGTCCATATTGCACAGATGTATCTTTTGCTCTCTCTCTATCTCTCTTCAATTCTCTTCTTAGTTTTTACTTATATGTCTTCAAAGCGTACCTTCTTTTTTTTTTTTGTTTTTCTTTTTTTTTCTTCTCCGCTCGAAAAGTAATTTATGATTGCAGGTAACTCAAAAGTGGCTAGTTAAGTAGTATTCCATCGCAGTTGCGATATGAGCCGAAAAGACAAGCTGAAAATCAGTAGGGTTAGTATGCCAGGTACTATCGTACTGTTA